TTCTAGAGCACATAAGTTCAATGAACAGAGTTTAACCATGACAAACCGAATGGCAAGGACTTTGAAAGTTGGGCATTCCTTCAGTTGAAGATCAGCTTTGTGTGGTTCACATTTCCATTCTTGACAGCATCCACTTCATTGGCTCTGAGTCTGACTGTCATGATAACCACCTGTAAATAACAAGAGTGCAACTTATCAGTTTTCAATGACAGACTTGTGAGAGCTACATTCAACAGACATGCAGGTAAATAAAATAGACATTTGAAGGAAGTGTATAATTATTTAGCAGGTTAGATTTAGCTGGCTTTCTTATACAGTAAACGATATTTAGCCAGATAGATTATACAGCACCCCCTTTTGATGCGTATACGAGTAGGCCTATATTATAAAATGTATTAAATTACCAACATTGTTTGTGCATGTGCAAGACCTGTGGCCTAGTGGATAGCATGTGAATCTTATGAGTGAGAGATCCCCAGCACAGCAGGGTTCGATTCCCAGCTTTCGACATTTTCAATTTTTTTCATCCCACACAATCAAGAATATCCTTTTATTTATTTTAAATTGACTCGAACTCCAACATTTAAGTACCGAGTATCGCATTTTCTTTTCCTGATTCTTGGCTCTGGAGGATTTTTTTTTTATTAAAGGGAAATGAAGCCCGAAATTGTAAAATGGTCAGATTCCGTCTCGTGAATACCAAGTTACAATGACAATGTTGGCGCGGAACCAGACTAAGATTTATCACTGTAAACAAGTCCCAAAAAATGTCACTGCCCATGTTCAGTGCCTATCCGGCAAAATATCATTCACTTAAAGAAAGCCGGCGCCGGCAAAATATAGGCCTACTCCCACTGCCAAATTTGAACTGCAATAAAAAAAGACAAGTCTGGGGATTTTCCTGTTTTTATCCATGCCCAGCATGCATTGCGAATGTCACAAGTGTTTATTTTATCCCTTTACCCTTCCTGCCCCCTTTTATAAACCGTTGGTCCCCCTCCTCCGCAGTCAAATTTCTGAAACCACGCCCATTTCCAGATTCTCAGAAAATGGAGAAAATAACTGACAGAATTCCTTCTTTAAAAACTTAGGATTTCGAACCGTGTTTTCCTCTGCATCAACTTCAGAAGTATCTACAGTAGTTCAGTTAATTCTACCTAACTTTCCAAGGCCACATGGTTAACTTTTCAGGCAAAAATTGGCAAACTTACTTTGACTGTTGTGACGTTTTTTCGAAGTCCTCCACCATACGTGCCCCGCCAATTTACGAACGCGCAACGAACCGCGTGAGATTGGTCGTTTGTGAACAAAAACACTTTGTCCCTGGTCCCTGCACGTACTATTGCAATGATTTCAAAAGCATTGAGAGGTGCGAACCAGTTATTTGTGCGTTGCCCTGGCTTGTTACCACTGAAAACTACCCGGCAATTTTTGTGGGGTAATGATCAGTTTCTGTTAGCTTGGGGTAAATGTCGTTTTTATTCTAATTCACAATTTTTGCATACCATCTTTTTTAAACTCTTGCACTTTTTATATAAAACAATATTGGAGACGTGCATCTAAGAAAAGATCATCTTCAATAGTTTGCTCAGATTTAAAATAAAACTGAGTTCCCTTTTTTTTGGTATTGATGGATGGTTCACCCCTTTCCAATTAAGTTGGTATAGCCAGGACTGTGCGGAATGTATATGCAAATTTACAGGTGCAATTGGTCTTTTCTTTCATCACGTGGTAACTGCGCAAATTTCCAGAGTGCCGCGATTTCTATTTATTCCTTTATTTAATAATATTCCTCTATTTCAATAATGTTCCTCTATTCATTATATATTTAATATCTAATATTCCCCTATTTAATTCAGCCATAGAGGGCGGGCTTTCGATTAGTGCGGCCAAATTAACTTGCCCTCGGATAACCCCCATAAATAATGTAGACAGCTGAATTAAATTGTACAAAAACATCTTTTAAGGGAATATGGAAGGGGGTCAAACAAAATGCGCATTTTGTTCGTTAAATGGAGTTGTTATTGGTAGTGGGGCCCAGACAACTAATATCAATCATTCATGAAAGGGGCTGGATGAATGGGGGAGGGAGGGGGGCAGTTATTTGGAATTTTTTCATGTTCCAATTGTTGGTGTTCATTGGGTGCTAGATAAATAAAAAGAAAAGAAAAAAAGCTGTTTGTTTTCAAATGTAAGAGTCACTATGGTGTCGCAAAGTTGAAACAATGATTCATTCAAGACAACTTCAACTTATATGAAGTCTTCAATTAATCAAAGAAGCTGTCTTCTTGCAGACCGAAGTGGGGGCCACTAGAAATGCTTTTTAAAATAAATCCACCAGGGAACAAGTGAAGACGACTGTTTTTAATACGAAATTATAGTCTATTCGTCGCCGTTGCCACTTTATAATACAAAGAAAGAAAGGAAACACTGCACCCCTCCCATTAAATGCGATCTAGCCCCGCCCCTCCACATAAGGAATTGGCCTGTCGGTGACCCCTTTCTTAATCCCCAAACAATAAATGCTTGTGGATCCATCAGTGATTTAGCTGTCTAATCATCATTTTTAATTGCATGAAGTAAATTTGTGATTGTGTTGATCTATTTTCTAAGGAATTTCTTTGGATATCCTCATTATGAAGCCAGCCTGCCTGATTACAAAACCCAAGTGGTGACCCAGCTGTAGAATTCAGAGACGGGAGATTGGTCCATCACTGAGGGAGGAATGGAGGCATAACACAACAATCATCTAACCTCAAAGATTGACTCAAGTCATTGAATGCAATGATTTATTACATGATAATAATCATACAAAGAACACAACGTCAAATAATAATTCCTGACGTCTTAAACTTTGCCCCAAATATCTGGAAAAACAAAAGAAGAGATCAGAAATGTTTCTGCACCAATAGCAAATAATACAAATGACTTACAAATTCCAACATATCTCTACTCATAGTTAACCAATAAACTTACTTCCGCCAAACGGTGCAAATATCAGATATTTAATTTGTATTTTCAAGTTAAGACAAGATAAGTTTGCGGTAGCACCATGTGAATAAATCTCTTTTGTGAGTATGTGTGGTTCTGAAAAGAACCGGAGGGACTTAATGTTTCGAACAGTGTGCTCTGCCCGTCGTCAGGAAAATGAGGGATTCCAACGATAATGCGATGTTATAAGGATGGGTACGGTGAGGCGTGAGAAGGATGCAAACTGGTGAAGCTCGAAACCGGTGAAGCTGATGAGAAGGATGCAAGTTGACTGATTTATTCACCTGGTGCTACCGCAAACTTATCTTGTCTTAGTGTCTTAGTATCTTCCACCATGCAAATATTCAAATCTTATTTTCAAGTGAAATAAAGAAATTGACTGTTCTTGTCTTAGTGTCTTAGTATCTTTCCACCATGCAAACCTTCAAATCTTATTTTCAAGTTAAACAAACAAATTGACTGTAGCAGGGTGACCGTTCCTGATTACCGTACCGGAACAGTTATCCGGAGGTCACAGGGTCAAACCAGCTCCAGTCAATTTCTTTGTTCAACTTTCAAGTTATTATAATGCACCGAGTCAGTTCTCCTTTGTGGTTTATTTTTATGACTGAAACCAAACTATCCAGAAGTCAGCAGATTATCCTGACTTGGAGTTCGTACCCGAGTGATGACCTTATCTTACAGAGTTGCACATTAATGATCACAAGATAAAAATCACAATGATGTAGTTTGTAAACCATGGCTTAAAGGCATAGGAACATTTGTATTTCATGCACATGGTTCGTTTCCAATACATGTAATATCATCACTGTTCCACAGAAGAATACCCTAAACCTAACATGTTGAAGCTTTGGATATTACACTTTTCAAGAAAAGAGTGAAATATCCATGCACAAACTTTTGATCAATAAACGCGATTTCGTCCATAGAACTCTAATTTCAAAAATCAGTCAATTGACTTATCATTGGAAATCACCTACATTTCTTGATTTCTTCTTAATGACAGCAAGCCAGATGGAATAATTTCACAGGGTGTTTAGTACCAGTACGATCTTTAATCCAAGTGAGCTTTTTGATTACAATTCGGTAGGTTACTTTTGGGATAAATACAAATGATCCCATCCCATATCCCTTGAAATGTGTAAATTAATGAGTACAAAATCCCCATCATTTAAAATTGCAATCAGTTTGGCTTTGCAGTTACAGCGTGTAAATCCCATTTTGATCGAAATCTTCTTTCATGTGTCATGCCAGCAACAACAGTTAAACATTATTTACATTCAGTTTACATTTCCAATGTGAATAAATCAAAACGTTGATTCAAAGTCTACTTTTTCTCTCCTGCAGAACTGCTTTTACCAAATTGAATGGTTGCATTTGGGCATGTTATAAACGAATGTTATCACCTGGGCAACTGCAAAATATCACAACTGTTAGAAACAAAAACGTCAATTTTTGTACAGAATATTGATCATACTTGGAACAAACAAATCTAGTGTCAATCAATACTTTGAAGAGGCTTGCAATGATAAAAACAAGCAAATTGTCCACATGTACCTATTTCAACATAATCAGAAACACAGAAACATTTTCGCGTATACAATTGCAACGATTGGTCCTGAATGAGCAAACATGACTGTCCTCTGACAAAAATGCGTCATTTGGCAATGCAACATTCTACATGTATACATGAATTGTTTGACAATATGAACACTGGTTTAGTAATTCTCAATATGGACATCAGCCTATAGTTGAATAGTAAACAAAATCCACGTTATACTGTCCTTACACAACTGGACCACTTTAAATGTATATTACATAAACAGTCAAGGTTAAAGATCTATACAAAAGTTAGCAAACTGGAATCATAATTTTTGCCATTTTATGCATAAATTACATTTATTTACACAAACGATTTGATAAAGAATGAAGCACAAACACTAAAAAGAAACGTCTGTTTGAAAGGCGTGAAGTTGTGAGAATTTTCCGAATTTGTACATAAGGCAAACGCAAAACAATTCAAAAGTACCCGAGGTTTGGGGTATTATTCTGTATACTAAGTTTTGCCCAGCACTGGTCTATGGAAGGGTGTCGTGCAGCCATTTGCGTGTGGTCACATTAGTTTGTTGGAATGCCATATTACTACATTGATCGGATAACAGGGTAGGAGGAGGCCTTTGTCACAAAGTTGAAGACATCTCACACAACTTTTACCTAAGATGATGCGATTCAAGATATTTTTTCAAAATAAATGGAAAGGAGAGGTGGATTCTCTTGTTTAATTGACGATTAGATTGTAGATTTATAATAGTACTCAGAGGTCACCCAAGATACATGGTCAATTTAATATCACTTTCAAGTGATACCCAGAAGGCTTAGTACAGTGCTATTATGTTTGAAGATTTCAATGAATCATTTTGTACAGGAATTGTTGATTGACTTTTCGCATTGATTGATTGATTGATTGATGGATTGAAAATTTGGTGTTTTTTTTCTTGGGGTGGGGGATGGAGGTTCAGTAGAATGAAGAACTATGCTTTGTATATTTGTATTCATAATGTAAGAGGATTCCGAATACATCTATTTGTATTGAAACCTTTTTGTTGACTTTTCTATTCATTATCGAGCCCCTTACTGTCCTCTGAAAATATAGTTTTTGTTGTTATTGATTGTTAGTTTTTTTAAAACTTTTTTTTTGGGGGGGGAGGGGGTTGGAGAGCATTGATTTTACATAACATGACCGATGATACGTGCTACTTGTTTAAACTGAATGTGCCTTGTGAGCGTGGTGCATTCATAGGGAACGGGGTAAGAGTTATGACTTGGTGGGAGATTATTTAGGCTCGGAATTCTCCCTCTTTTGTTTCCGTCAGGTGAGGGAGGTCTTGACTGACAACTCGTCTGATGAGCTCAGCATCGAGGTCAATGTTACGAAGTTTCAACCAACGTAACTCAGGGAGACCTTGGAGATGATGGGTGAGAGCCCTGACTGCATCCAAACTGAATGCATTGTCATCAAGGTGAAGCCATTGTAAACCATGCCTAGCAGGAAGGATGCTGATCAGGTCCTTCACGTCATCATCTACCAACCTGCATGCCTTGAGCTGCAAGAGTGTAAGGGATGACAGTATGTGGCTGACATCTCCCACCTGTGCATGCAGGTTGGTGCCATACAGTGAGAGATTATCCAACCTGCATCCTTCCAGTGCCTTCAATAGATTGACAACCTCATCTGGTGATCGATGGTGCATATACAAACCAAGCCTGACTATTTGTTTCTGCATGCAGAAAAAGCTGTGTGATACATGCCCCACATCAAACCAGGACTTTGCCTCAATGTGAACCACAATGTGTAATTGAGCACGGCGCTGTTCATCCACCTCACCAAGTGTTTCCTCTAGGAGGCTAAGCTCCTCCTCCTCCTGCTCAGACAAGTAGTAGTTAACCACTATCAGCCCAGCTGACTTCATGCTGTCACTCAGAAGAATTCCCCTGAGAAGGGTAAGCTCCTGCTTTCTTACATGCATTTTAAAGAATGTACCTTTAAGTGGTGGAGTGACATGCTGTAAGTAGTAGCTCAGTGGTTTCAGGTCTTCGTTACTCTCGCAGTCTACCCAAGTTGGTCTGACTAGTTTGGTTGCCAACTCTTCTGAACCAGACTCGAATAGCAGCAACCGAGCCAATCTCTGCAGTTTCTTCTCGTCACCTTGCATCTCTTGTATGTGATCCAGAATGAGACCAGCAGCCTGCCTTGATCTACCGCAACAAAATCTCAGCAGGTATTCCATTGCATGAACATTGCCTTCTCTAATCTGCTTCAACTGATGACGGAAATCATTTTCGTTATCTTCTAGTATTTTCGCCAGGTGACATGCTGCGAAGTATTCTTGGATGGTCTTGTGGAGGAAAGTAACCAACACCTTTACATCCAGACCACTAGTGTATGTTTCATGTTCAACAAAACCCAAACGAAAACACTCATCCAAGCAAGACTGACAATCCTGAAATTCAGTTTTATCGAACATGAGTCTTTCCCCTCTAGAGTCTAATAACCCTTGCAATGCAACACGCCCCAAGCCATCAATGATGGACATCAAGTAAAACATCACCTGATCATCATTCAAATCTTTATTGCGGCGCTTGAAAAGAGCCAGTGCAAACTCTGCGTACAGCTCAGTAATTCTCTCTGGCAAGGACTTTTGGTTCTTCCAAACAAGGCACAACATCTGGGAAATGATTGGCAATGCAGATATATCACTCAGATTGGTATTGACATTCAGATATGAAATCAATGCCTCTCCCATGTCATCATCAGAAAGGTTTAATCTGATGTACTGATCTCTGTCTTGTGCTGTAAAGCCACATGCCTCAACAACTGCATACTTTTGGGGACCCCTCAATACATATTCAGTCATGTGTGGTCGAGTTGTTACCAACACAAAACTTTTTGTAAGGACTCTGCTGTGTAAGATATCCTTAACCCTGTACACGCCCTCCTCAGATTGCAAAACATGAGATGGAATTTCATCTAATCCATCCAACAGCAAAGCAATGCGTGATTCATGATCATCAATGAACCCTTTCACTATGGGTTTTGTCAGTTTGGTGTTTTGTGCTAGAATTTGGTCAAATATGGCATCCAAAACACAACTAGATTGCTGCATTTGCCTCAGCTTTATCCAAAGCACAAGATCGAATCTACCAAGAAGGGGTTTTGAACTAAGTGTGATGCAAGAGTTTGCAACTTTCACTAACAGGGTTGATTTACCCGTCCCGGCCCCACCATAAAGGAGAATCTTGATTTCCTTAACTACTTCTGGATTTAACAAATCATCCAAGGAATTAAGAGTTATAGTTTGATTGACATCTAACAATCTTTCTCCTTCTCGTAATGCCACAAACCTTTCAGATTTTGTTTTGCCTGGAATGTTCTTTTGCAGACGGAGCGGAATAAAGAATTCAATATCTACCTTACGTGTCTCCAGTATAGGGTGTGCAGAAATAGTCGTTGCAGTTTGCTTGTAGTTGTCAATAATTTGTTGTCGCAAGTAGGCAAAGGTATATGGCCCCTGGAATTCGGTGATTTCTGAAACAAACCATACAATTGTAATGAGTAATTTACTAGAGAACAGATGAACATGATTCATTACAATTCTTTCGAGCTACAGTTCAACAAAGCCGACCAATCTGCTGGTCCAAGTCCTCGCACCACCAAATATTTCTTTTTTCGCATTCAGGTTTGTTATCTTTATTCACAAAAGTATTGAATTACATCTAGTTTCCCATTTAGTATGGTTAAATGTACACTTAGAAATTTTGAATAAGATTGAAAGTTACATATCCAATTTGTTTTTAAATTTGGCATTCCCAAGATTACAATACATGTATTGATAAACCATGAGGAGCATGAGATTGATGTTACACACAAATAGCCAGTCCCTTACACTCTTCAAACAAACGCAGAGGTGATGAAATCAACGCGGAAATTCTGATCACACCATGAACTAGACAAAGAAATTACTAACTGTAGCTGGCGGTTAATTCTAAAAAAAAAAGGGCGAAACTTGACAATGCTGCATGCTGTTTCCAGGCCATTTTTATTACGATCTTACGTTTATCCAACATCCACCGAACCACACACTTTTTAATGCTTCAGTGTTCATTCCTGGATGTATTCGTGGGTGCATGAGGACATGCGGACATGTGCCCTTCCCAGCCCCCCCCCCCCCCCCCCGCAAAAAAAGGAAGGTGGGCAAGCAGAAGGAAAGTTTTCAATAAGCTAACGTAAAAATTTAATTACGTTGCTTAAGAAATGAGCTAACACGCGTTTCTCTCCGAGTATGGTAATTTGATTGGTTTTAATGTGATTATATGTGCTTTACCTTTCAAACTTATTGAGTGCTGAAATTTGGTTGATAACAGAGTCTTAAGCCTTAAACAGACAGTAATTCATGTCAACAAAAGTATTTCATGTGATTTCTGGTATACCATTGTAAATTAAGCACAAAAAAATTATTCAGTAAATTAAGCAGACCTATTTTAACGGCTTGAAAAAAAAAGGTTTTGCTTTGTCAATCAATCATATGTACCAAGGCTACTAATGTCATGAAAATTATGATTGATTAAAATTTATTTGATACCTATCAATTCTTTGATAATGTCCATTCTACCGATCTCAATGAGAGCTGTGCATAACACTCTACTCTGATCCCCGCCGGTGGATTGTCGGCGCCTCCATTTGTCCAGTACCTTGAAGATCTGTTGTTTCTTGTGGGAGATCTTTGCAGCGCTTAAACCCAGATGTGTAGCAAGCTTCCGCGAATCAAAGCCAAGCATCTCAGATATCTTGTGTAGAACGGAGTCACTGATACCTGCAAACGGTCAAGAAAGTCTCTGTGAAAATGTCTGTTATGTTCAGAGTAAAAGTCAATGGTGAATGCATTGTGCCAGTTATTGTTGAGATAATTCATGGAGGGGGCAGTTACTTGAAACCATGGCTACCACAATACCGGTACTTCCACGATTAAAGGGAGCCTATTTTGTAGTGACTGTGATAGCGTGCAGAGAATAGTCTCTAGTCCTTCTTTGCTGCCTATTTAATCATTTCAAAATAAAATAAATTGATAGGCCTCATAAATTGATGAATCAATTTAATTAACAACTTGGTGGAAAAGCAAGTTGTATTGTCCATTTTGGACAAAAATAATTTCCGATGAGGAAAGAATAACAACGACAACGTTTCCTATGATGAAAGTTATCATTACTGTGAAACACTGAGAAAAGCTTACCTGTCTCAGCTTCTATTGGGGTCAGTGGTATGTTTTCCTCAAGTGACGATTGTTGACCATTTTCTGGATTCAGATTTTAGAATGAAAACAAATTGGGTTAACTGTATACCGACGCATGAATCCTCATTCCAAATACCACAGCAAGTTCATTTGAGATTCCATGATAACTGTTTCATACAATATAAAATTATCTGAATGGATTTGGTGAGAGAGTACTTAGGTCCTACATGTCTATGAATTATAATCTCATGATCATAATGGTTATCGGTACTCAATACCTAGGTCCCAGTTAAGGCAACAAAAAAAAAAGGCTCCCGTTTCTGGTATGCGCGCACGTCACCGTAGCCATGCGGGTCAGCAAAATTTAAAAAGATGATGTCTCAAAACTGCCAAACTCACTGGTTTGACTGAAATTTTAACGTGTTTTTAGATGGGGTTACAATCGAGTATAAGCTTTGTGTGGCCTCTCTGGGCTCCCATATATTTTGCACTAAATTTAGTCAGGCACCATTTGCAGCACAGCCGACATTTGAAGAAGAAAAAAGTAAAAAAACAAACAAACAAAAAAACGGCGTCGCCGCACCACTTTTGGGGCAAGCTTCATACCACAAGACTTTGGGGGGGGGGCCTAATAATGGTTATATATTATTTTAAGCAATATTGTTTTATTTTCTCCTTTTTTTCACTCATTAAACATGTCTTTACAAAGTTTTGGCCAAAAATGCAAGTCTTGCTCGGCTATAACAAGGAAGAGTGATTAAAATGTGGCGAATCCAAAATCATTTTATTCTTAATATTACGATCACGCACAGTTTTCTTTTAATAATATTTCAATTTCCATTGTTATATTGTTTTCCTTTCAAAATACAAATATCCCCTTAGGACCCTTACCTTCACGTTGACGGCGGCGTTTCTCCCTGTGTCTATCTGCAAAAACAACACAAAACACTTGTAATTACTTTGAAGAATCTCATACAACAGGGAAACAATTTTCGTTATAAGATGTATAAAGAGCACAGCCACTATCGTAGTGGTGCGATGGTAATATGCGCACAGGTTCTTGGACTGTACTGTGCAGCAATTAACCCAAGTAGGTGCTACACAAGCCGTGCAAATGACGTCCTTGTATCTTTGGGAGCGGTTCGCTGCTCTAGTCAGGTTTGTGGATGGGAAGATGCATGCTGCTGCACGGTACAAAGGCTGTACTGTCTCAGTATCGTGAATTAAGAACGTCTTGCTCCAAGACCAACACTGTCAGTGAACTATCAAACTGACCATTTTGCCGAGGAAAACTGAAATGCCATACATGTAATTAAGGAACATCAAAAGCTCAGTTTTATTATGAAATCACTAATATACACACAAAAGAACAGTAAACAAGAGAACAAAACCTCATGAAATCATGAGCTCACTTCATGTATTTTCATGTGTCAATGTTAGGGACCATTAGGAATGGTGCATCTACGGGAGAAGTATGCGGCTCAGAAAAAGTCACCTATTGAATCACTATATTGCGTAGTTAGTTTATAAGGCACACTCCCGGCAATGTACATGTAACATCAAAATATTGAAATGTATTATGTACGCCTGGTGAAATTATCACACAAATAATGAGTTAATAGGTCATTTTTTCGAGCCACGTGCGTTGTCCGTATGCATACAATTCTAATGGTACCTATTACTTTTGTAATATCTTGAGTCGTAATATTGATTATCTAGTTTCAAGGCAAAAGGTTTGAGAGGATTTCCATTGCTTCTCTAACCCTATACAATTAGAGACGTGCCATGAATACATGAACAGAAGGGGGGGAGGGGAGTATAAAACAAGTAATCAAACGTGCCTTGAATTCACTGTGGAGGGGAGCATAAAGCAAGAGAACAATATGGAAAGACAGTAACGTCCAACTCTGTGATTATACCAATAGGAACATCACTTACATATTCCAAAACAAAGTGCCGCCAGAGCCACCACAAAGGCGCCAATGCCTCCAACGATTCCAGTGATCTTGTACGCAGCATCCAAGTCATGTCCCCCACTTCCAGTTGCAGACGGCGTATTTGTAGTCGTGTTCATGCTGCCAAACTCTGCCATTTCTGTTCTTGTAAACTTCCTTTTCAATAGAAAATTACAAGCGCAAATATTATGTGAGCTACATGCGAGATAGCGAGGTGTTTGTTATCTAGACACTACAATATTATGAACGGATTTTGTTTCTAATCCGAGGGCGGATCCGAGGAAGTGATTGGTGTTTCTAACCACCTTGAAATTGGTAATTCTTTATGTAATGAAAAAAGTCTTCATTTTTGGTTTACATTCTTCCAGTGTTGTATGACTCGAGTTCAGGACTCAGACTTGAGTCACATTTTTCGTGACTCTCTGTGAATTTTTTCTTCTGACATAGGCCTACTGTCATTTTAAAGAAAACAATAAAAGAATGTCATTTTAAAGATGCATCTAAAGACTACTTTCCGATAGTAGTTCATTTTTAATTCATTGAAGGCGTGAATGGGCCCTTTATCTAGAGAACCGTACCAGTTGCACTGAAACTTTGTAGATGTATGTCTATAGATGGGAATGCGTTATTGATGAAAATCAATATGAGGTTATAGTGCTGTCATTACGTAATTTTATATAGATTTCTGACATTTTGAAGATTATCGCCATATTTCACCAACACAACATGCTCAAATCAAAATTCTTTTTGTAACAGGTTTAGGTACCGTACATGACTTTTAAAACAAACAAAAGGGTAGGTCCAATCATCATGAAACTTGTTGGAAGGTAGATAATGTTACTAGTATGCAAAATTCAAAATGACGTACATGTACAGATGGCGTCATCAACTGATTTTTAATAAATGTTTAAATTTTTTTGTGTGGCTACTAGCAAAACTTTAAAGTCAATGCATTTAATACAAGAAATTATCAATTACATGACTACGCATTGCCAAAAAAAACCTCATAAAAATCTTAGGCAGAGAAACCCTGTATGTTCTGTTTTTAAACAGACATAGACCTCTAGTTTCTTTTATGGAATTATTGTTCAAATTTTGAAGAGCTATAACAGTACCTTCTGGGATATTGAAATAGACAAAATGTATTTTCAATATAAACCGTAGTCTGCCTACTCTTAAATGCATCTACATGTATAGGTTTTGTTACATTACTTCATGTATGTACACTTCACATTTTGCAGTCTGAAGCAAACTGTTACTCCTAGTTCATAAGCTAGCCTTGAACCTCATCCAAAATAACTGACAATTTTCTTACCCCTTTTAAATTCCCAGTCAAATCACTAAAAGACGAAGTTTTTTCACTCTGATGTATGTGTAAGAGCACAAACAGTTGAGGCGTTTGATGGGGCGGATCTGGTAAAGATGGCGCTGGACAAACACAGCATCGTCATCAAGTCGCGTGACATGGTTTATATATAGAACTTGGGATTTTTGTTTTGCTGCATACATGTACCTCACACGTACCAGTACAGTCTGTTTATCTGTTTATCTGTGTAAATACAGTATTTACTTGACACTTGAGTTTTAATTTGGACCTTAGAGACAGGTAGCTCCATGCACTGATTCTATCTACAGGCGTACTTTGTTACATTTCAATCGCACACACCTCAGCATCTGTGTACATATTTATTTCACACTTGAGTTTTGGACCTTAAGATACCGTAGGTTCATGCATTCTATCTACATACATACATACAAAATGCACTTTGTTGAATTTCAATGGCATACACCTCAGCATCCATTTAATTCCACTTTTGTATCTTTAACCCTCAAATAAATGCCCTATAATATTGTAAAAATCTTGCTTGAACCCTACACATGAACTGCAGTCCCTGGGGTTCGTCATAAATTCAAATGAAATGGAAGTCCGGCTTCCTACTGATCAAATTGAACCGATTGTGGAGTTATATCGTTCCTAAATACCATAACTTGGCCGACTGCACAGTTTATTGCACAAGTAATTTTGAAACTGGTTCTTGCTTTCCAGGAGTACAATTGGGTCCCTTGTTTTACAGGAACCTTGAAATCAGTATTAGATGCAGCACTTAAGGAAAATGGAGGAATTTTCACACAAAAATGTCATCGACAAATGAAGCAAGAATTGAATTGCAGTGGTAGGTTTCTAAGTTGCCCTCTGCGTCTCGTTCTATTTGCCTAAAGTGAGCAACTTGTACATTTATAGAAATGGATGCATTCAAAAGTGCATGGGGAGCCTATGTAAATTGCCTTGCAATTAATCTTAGACTAGGTTTACACTATGTTCCCGGCGGTCACAGCAGCCCCGTTTGCCCGAAACGTAGTGCGCCGTGGGATTTTGGCAATTTTTTTTCTCCGTAGTCCAAGTTTTGTTAGGTCCTGCTAAGTTTTCTCACGGTTTATCACGGTATCTGTGATGGGCCGTTGGGAAAAGGGGCTGCTGAGTCCTGGAGGCTCAAAGGCGCACTACGGTTCGGCCCGCGATCTACCACGAATGCCCTGATGGGGTCCCTCTGGGGTCCCACACTTTCTAATCAAAGTCTGACACCTTGTTCGCGTTCTGTCAAGGCTTTCTACGGATGAAACGTGTACGCCGGGCAGCTTCGGAGCAAGTTTGTGCCCACGGTATGAAAAGAAGGCCTCCCAAGCAAAAACAATCATTGTATGCTTTTACACTCCCTCCCAGACAGCGCTCACCGTATCCGATCATAGTAGAACGCAACGCGCCGCATCGCACTGGGTCTGTAAACCATGACACATCTGGACGCGCCATGATTGAACGCGACGAAACGGCTACCGTACACCCTAGCTTGCCGTAAGAAACGAAGCAAAACGCGACAAAACGTGCAGCAACCGTGACAAAACGCCAGCTAAACGTGGCAGAACGTGACAAAACTTGAAAGGACCGGTGAGATGCCGGGGAATGCACATGCTTCCCGTCCTACTACGGATCGTCTCCAAGTTTTGTTACGGCCTATCACGTACTGTCACGTTTTGTTGCGTTCACCCGTTTTACTACGGCCTACTAGGTTTCTCATCCGCACCGTGACTGCCGTGGCAAATTTTCCGTTTCCTTGACGACAGCCTTGATCCTTGACATTTCCTGGTTTTCATGAGTTCAATTCCATACCATCTGTTTGTATTGCTTTACCTATTTGGTTGCCAGTTCAACAAACTTTGCAAAATTAAAAAAGGACCTTGACTGCAGTTTACTTTTCAACAAAGAATTTCACAATTTTTTATGAGACTTTTCTAATTCCATTGTGGCAATTACACACTCGAATTGACTGGTAAAACCTAGTTTGGAGATGAGTGGAAATAAATGCATTCTTCATTTATTCAGAATAGGAATTAACTCACCACTCTTTGTAGTTGCTCTTTTCTTGAGCAAAAAAATGAACACAAAATATGCCCTCAAATAACTATAGTGTAATACCTCTTTGAACTCTCCAACATGAGCGCACATACCTGCCCAGCAGGCCTATTAAATCATGTGACTGTTGAAATACATGTATACCGCATCAAATATACCACAGTGCTACCTGTTGTGGGATGTCGGCACAATCATTCTTTAATATAGATCCGTGCTCCCAATATTCAGTGGTGTTCAGACACCCCCCCCCCCACTCAAATAATATTCAACATTGTTTACATTGAACATTTCCCCAATAGTCAGATGGTGTTCAGACAGTTTAAAAATCTGGCCCGGCATCCATGGCAATCACGGACTGTCACGTTTGCCCATCCCGTCCCCTGGCGTTGTCTCACGTCCATACCGTTTTGCCCACGGTGGCCAGAAACGTGATTGCCGTGGCCGCCGGGCACATACATGTAGTGTAAACCTAGCCTTAAAACTAATGGCAGATGGACTGCAAATGAAACCAATGTTCACATTAATTACCAGGAGCTGTTGGCTGATTGGTAGTATGGCTTTTGTTCATTTGTATTGCACATAGACGGTAAAATACTACACAGTATAAATCATATGGGTGGATGTCATTCACTTGAACTTAATAATAATAATAATAATAAAAAGATATTATTATTATAGAGCGCCAAATTGCCATAATGGCCTCAAAGCGCTAAATACAAAGATAAAAAGCAATCAGTTGACTAAGAGAATAAAGCTGTGGTGTGTAGAACATGACATGTAGTTAATTTCACTTCATATTCCGTGATACAAAGCCATTGCTCTCTTACTCTGCCGTAATGCATACATGTAAAGGTTATATTCTTGCTGCCCGTACAGATTCCCGCTTTGCTTTTCAGGGGAAACAATCGAGGGGAAACAATAGGGTACCACCTAAGTCTCTCTGGCAATTACGCGAGTACATGAATGTCTACGGTCACCCTGATGCCAAACTGTGAAGAAGACGTTCCAAGTACAAGTTCAGAATCGTGTAACTAATGAACAATGATATTGTCGTTTCTCTTCGATCAGAAATTTAAGTATCGTGGTTTGTCGGTTACACGATTTTAAACTTGTATTTGGAATGTCTTCCTCACAGTTTGCAATCAGGGTATTGATAGACATTCATTACTGGCATAATTAAAGCAATTTACAACTCTTACCTTCTTGAGAAAAATGGAGGGCTACACTTTCAAGTATGCAAACACTCCCAGTACAAATCAATGTTATAGTACAACTCAATGTTTGTGAGCAGACTTCATAAATGAAGGCATGCAAAGGCTGAATGCCACGTCGTCAATCTGATGAAACCCTCGCATGAAAAATCTTATATATGACGGCTTTGGTATCGACATTTGCATATTATCTCTTTGCACGTGATCTCTTTGTGCCGCACCCACTTGATATCCACCAATGAAACTGACAGATATTTCTAGGTCATTGTTAATCAAAGAATCTTAACATCAACCTGTTGCGTGATACCCAGGGGCCCAGGTCTCCAATTGGACGGCGCATTAAGGAATACACACAGTACATGAACGACACCTCATTCCCAGGGATATTGCAAAGTTCACCAATCACATGACACCAGGAACCCATCAATTTAAACGGCACGTCAGCTTATTCCCAGGGGTGTTGAATCGTTCCACACTTAGGTGACACCAAGAACACTCTTGGTGGATGACACATAAACTTGATTCCCAGGGACTGTGTCATGTGACGTGATTGGAGGGTCACATGGCAAATTGTACCTCAACCAGAATGCACGTACGCTTAAAAAGCAGCGACCAAAATGGATAGTGATAGGATATGATTACAGGATTGCATGTTAGCATTACAGTTGTTAGTTTCATTCAAGAGGATTTTATCTCTTCGGGTCTATTTTGTTACCATTAAGTCACTTTGCTGTTTCAATACTGTAACAATGAACAGGAACAAATTAAGTATTAACATAACTTTCACTGAATGGGAGATTTGCGGTAACACCATGTGAATGATATCTCTTTGTGAGTTGTGCGGTTCTAAGAACCAGTTGGTTTAACTCGACGTTTCGAACAGTACGTTCTGTTCGTCAGCAGTCTCCTGATGACAAACAGAGCATACTGTTCAAAATGGCAAGCTAAACAAACTGGTTCTTTTCAGAACCACACAACTCACAAAGAGATTTCATTCACATGGTGTTACCGCAAATCTGACCTCCCATGCATTGGTCATGTCCACCACGCTAACCCTTAAAGTCTCATTTAACATTTAACTTTGTTATAAATGATGATACATGCTCACATAACTGACATATCTCAGGTTAATTGAACTTGACAAAGTTCCAACGCCACATAGGGTAAAAGAAGTCAAGACAACAATTAAAATATAGCCTCAGATATCATCACATAGTAATTCAGAACATTTTGAAAATTGTAAAAACCAATGTCAAACCAACAGCACTCTTCATTTGAATAATAGACAACAGGTGACCGAGAAAACTGTCTCTAGGGATTCCACATGTACACTGTCATTAGCTGCTCAGGGGATTGCTCTCTATTTGATATAACACCTGAACCAGTTCAATGGATAGGCCTATACCTGTACCACGTACGACAAGTTATTGCATCAAGACTAAGCTTGTCCAGTTGGATTGGACCTGAAAGTCTCATTGAGGACATTATAAATGTACCCAATGCAAGGCCAGCACATCAAAAACAGCTAAAACTTTTTGAAGGAGTATTTGGAAGTGAACGTATCCAAGATCCAAGACCCCATAGCGTGCCAGAAACCACTCAGCAATGACATTTGAACCATCTGCATCATCAATCATCCTGCATCTCTTTACAGGCTGCCGTTGTCTGTAGTCTGTAATCTATTCGAACTGACATCATCCCCAAGATAAACACAAATTATAACCAAAAATCCCTACAAATCACACTTTGAACCAGCCAGACGAAAGTAAACAAACAAAACACTTCAAATTATTCCTGGACACTCTAAAACAAAAAAAACCGCATAAGCCTAGCCACATGGAGCCTCAAAACTACAACTTACACACTTTATTTTTGTTACCTGTCATGCCTGTAGGTTTCCGTAAAGAAATAAGGCGAAGCATTTCCAGGACAGCCGTGGGATAAGTTCCTAATCCATTTACAGTCAAAATAGGGTTGTGTATAGCATTCATATCACTCACAGCCTATCCGCTAACCATACATTTATTGCCAGAAAAACGGTTCATCTTTTTGAAGATCTCTCCAGGGAGCAACTTTGTCTGAATGTGTACATGTAGGCCTAAGGACACAATACTGGCAACCAAAAGTGGGACATTAGATATATGAAGCAAGATGAAAGCTGCATGCTGTTAGTTTTCTCTGAAATTGTTGGGAGAAACGACCCTTTATGTGGAAAACAACATTGAATTCAGATAATAGGCCAACTATTTTTCATTGCAAGGAAGATCATAACCGGCGCGGATCCAGGGAGGGGGGTTTTGGGGGTCCCAATAAACAACCCAACTCTGCCAAAAAATTTTTTTTTTTATAGAAATTCCTTAAAAAATTACGAATCCCCCCCCCCCCCGACAACCAAGAAAATGATACTAAAATACGCACAGAGCCAGATTGGATAGGAGGTATTTGTACACTATTCTGTGATATAGTGGTAGTGTAAATAATCGTCGGATTTGAACAGCGCCCCCATTGAAAGTATGGTAAGCACATGCTTAGATAACTCAATATCAATATACCCAAGAAATTTGATTAATTATATATATCAAGGGTTTTGGAATTATTGCCTAAAGTGTTACACCACATGCACCCATGATAATCCTGCTTTATGTGTAATACATACATGTATGGGGAAATGCCACTTTCGCCGTGCGCAGCGTCAACAAAAGTTGTGTTGCGCAGTAACCCTGGGTTGAAATTTTATGAATTTGGTAACAAAAGATACAAAAGACTTTAGGCTACAAAGTCATGAAAGCTTGGGGAGTGGAAAAAATTGTCCGCAAAAAATATCGCAAACAAAGTATAGGGATTCCCCCTCCACCCGGCTCTTTTAGGGTTTAAGCATTGCATTTTTGTACAACTAAATCTGAAAACTCTGAAAATTGAACAACATGGATTTTATCCATTGGATCGTTCATGTGGCCTGCTGGCTACCCGTACCCGGCCAGTCATGTGTTAGCTGGTGGCGCTGTGTATGGTGGTACCCTTGCATATTACATTGTGCACGCACGCTCCACACATCGTGTGATGCAGTGATTTTTCCACGTCAAAGGTCAATATTTAACCTTTTATCCAGCCAGGAAAGGGTTCTGATCAGTGTTGGCCGAGGTTTTTCTACCGTAGAAACACTCCCTTTCAACTGGTGAAAGAGATTAAAAGTACGCTCGTGATAATTTTTATTTGCCGTTGTCATCGACCTTTTCATCGCCTTTTCTTTGAAATTATAATTCAAATATGCACAATGTAATCACATATTGCTGTAAAATCGTAAAAAAAATATAAAATTTTGTGGGGAAAAAATGTTAAAGAATTGGAAATTTTGTTGGAAAAGAACCAGTTAGTTTTTTGTTTTCCGATTAAAATTAGAAACGTTTCATCTCTGCAAGGGGCAAGTTGGATCAGTTTAACTAACTCTGAATGAACACATGCTAGTCGACGATGGTTGGACTAGTCTAGTCCACTATTCAGGACCAGCCTACCACAGCTGGTCACGCCATGATATAGCTGGTTATAGCAATTTTACATAGCAAAGTGCAGAGGGGATCAACTATCAACAAAAATGGCGGAAAAACGAAAACTGCGAGTGCTACTAATTTCATTCTCATTGCACAGTTTTTCCACTTAACTTTCACTTTTCCCACCATTGTAGAATAATAGTGGTGAGTAAGGTGTCCTAAACCACACAACCACTATTATTTGTGTAAATAATCAAAAACGTCAAGTGTTGTCAAATTGTGCGGCAGACCACTATTAACTCATGGTCGTTGACATGACTTTAGTTCGACTAGAGTCGTTGGTACGTTCACTACGTTATCTTCACTGTGCATGCACTAGGTACGTCACGAACCAACCACTAGTTAACCATTGGTCCTTGATCCAACTAGACTCGTTATTGGTGCATTATCTTCACTGCGCATGCGCTAGGTACGTCACGAACCAACCACTAGTTAACCATTGGTCCTTGATCCAACTTGCCAGAGGCTGGCTACAA